TATTAAGAATATATTACGATTTTTAAGAAAAAGGAAGAGAAATACAGCGGCAAAAAATCACATAAATCACATTGCAGCTAGTGCCAGTGAAGCCTTCTTTGATGGTTAGAAGTTCCCATTAGGGAAGGTTTTTGGTTCCAAGTGTATTTTTGCAAGCCTAAAACGACTTCTTGCGCATTCATTAGTCTCAACCTGAGGTAGATGGGTTAGATGGCGACCATGGCAATACGTTGAGCGGCAACCAATATTAGTAGCAATGTTGTATATATCATTTTTTTCCTTTAATACCTTACGTGTTATATAGGTGAAGCGGGAAGAAGATTATGTGATAGGTTCATTGAATATCTTCGTGGTAGCGAAAAGGCGAACTATCACCATTGTGTGTGTCGTGAGCCGGGATTCAGTGTTGGGTTTATTCCAGCTGATGTTTGGGGCCTGGCTGCCGTACCTATACCCGGATGTCAGTGGCTATTAGCGAACTGGACTTTAATATCTCACTAGCCAAAAGCAGGGCCATACGTTCTTTTCATATACTAATACGTGTTTTGGTGAAGGAAAATGTTCTGTATTTTAAAAAATGTTATTTTGTTTTCATATTTATCCCACTACAAATAAGATATGTACAGTTTGAAAAGGATTCGTTCCTTTGTTTTAAAACAATAGTCCGGCCGTCAACGGTAGTGCCTGAGAGACAGCGAACCGGCTCCCCTATTTAAAACGTTTCAGCACCTCTGACCCGACTAAACATTGGCGATGATCCCAGTTAAATAACCATTGTTAAACGACATCAGGTGGACCACTTAGGGATAAAAGATGCATCGATCTCTGCGGGACAATCCCTAGAATATAATCAATAACCAATGTTCATCGGCATTTGTGCCTGTATCGAAGATGCATTGAAATGCGATCCCTCACATACGTGAAGCACCCAGGTTGAAATGCGTACAATTTGGTCGGGCTTACCAATAAATCCTTTCAACTCGTCCACTAAATGGATTTGATTTGTAAAGCTGTGTTTGCCCCGGTGAGCACGGGTGACGCACGAGCACAGCAACAAGGGTTCCAACGTTTTACAATGAGCACGGGTGACGCACGGGCTCAGCAACAAGGGTTCCAACGTTTTACAATGAGCACGGGTGACGCACGGGCTCAGCAACAAGGGTTCCAACGTTTTACAATGAGCACGGGTGACGCACGAGCACAGCAACAAGGGTTCCAACGTTTTACAATGAGCACGGGTGACGCACGAGCACAGCAACAATGGTTCCAACGTTTTACAATGAGCACGGGTGACGCACGAGCACAGCAACAAGGGTTCCAACGTTTTACAAGGTGTTTTAGATTTAAATCAGCGGAGTGGGTGCATTGTGCTTTCAGAGTCAAATCAACACAATAACCAAATACGGACTGGTCGGTCGTCACCGACTGTGAAGACGGTGCCTGCGACTTAAACTATTTCTTATTTATGATGTGCTTAAAATATCCTTACGGGAACCAAATGGAGGAACAATTCAAATACCGACCTCACTTAATGATACAAACAAAGTGTGTACCCTAACAGTAAAGCTGAGCTTTGATCAAATATAAATACTACAAATAGAGACGTGTTTTTAACATAATGGTATTGCGACCATCTTAACGTAAATAATTTTTTTGTTAACATACCAAGGAGAAGGTTGATTAGCAGCCACCACATGGAGGACAAGACACTTTAATGAACTCCACAACGTTGGAAAAAACTACCAAAGTAATCAATTCTATTTTTTTTAAAACACACAAATCCCATTGAGAAGACTTGATCCCAGCAGAACTTATTAAATGTGGAGGAAGAGAACAACACATTTAGACACATAAATCTAAAACTAAAATTTGTCAAGAAGAGAAAATTCCAACAGAATTGGAAACAGCATTAATAACCCCAATAAACAAGAAAGGCTCCAACTTCAGTGCACAAACTACAGAGGAATCTCCCTATTAAATGTTTCAAACAAAATACTGACGAAGCTAATTGCCAAAAGACTACAACGGTACACTGAAGAGACACTAGGTGATTACCAATGGGGATTCAGACCAAACAGATCAACGCCTGATCAGATTTTCGTCATCAGATGCCAATTAGAGAAATGTTACAAATATAATGTCCCAGTACATCAACCCTGTTTGGACTATGAAATGGCCTATATGACAGCATCAAAAGAAAATACCTATACGAGACTCTGCAAGAGTTTGGCATAATCAACAAACTGACCAGACTGATACAGGTAACATTAAACAACTCAAAAAGCAAAATCAAGGTTAAATTCAAGTGAATTTCATATTAGACGAGGTCTAAGACAGGGATAATCACTGTCTTTTATGCATTTAACATAACATCAGAGAGAGAGTTATAAGAAACATACATATTGACATCCCAGGAACAATAACATGATGCTATCTGAAGGAAAACCAAGACTCACAACCAATAGGCACTCAATACAACCAGCCCCTTCAGTATCTTGCATATGCTGATGACATAGCACTGCTAGGGAAAAGTGGTAGAGCTATATAAAAAGCTTCATAGAATTAGAGAACGCATCACAATCACAACAAGCAGGGCTGGAATCTAACATCCAAAAAACTGTATTTATAATGTCTATATCAGCCCACTCTAGTATCAGAAATAAATAATGGCAGGATACTCTGGGTTGGACATTTAGAAAGAACGCCAAACGACAGCGTAGTGAAGAAGTTGCACCACTCAAAACCCCGGAGGAAGACGGTTCAAAGGCAGACCAAGGCTTAGATGGATGGATGGTGTGGAAAAAGATCTTCAGCAGCTGGGAATCTAAGCATGGAAAAGAAAGCATCAGTTATGTCTGAGTGGAAGGATGTGGTGAGACAGGCCAAAGCCCTACATGGGCTGTAGCGCCACAAGGATGGATGGAAGGAGAATGCGGTGAAGTTTCACAAAGCTTGTTCTTTCAAACCCACTAAAGAAGTTTGATTAAAAATAATGTAATACAAATATCAAAGTGACAATCAAGCTTGCAATCGGAATTATTTTTAAAAAAACAGGATAAACAATATTTGTTAACGATAAAATTTCTCAATTTTATGGTCTTTTATTTTAAAAAATTGGTGTACTTCATTAAACTTTAATTCTTAGTTTTAACATCAGGCGATGATCTCTTTCTTAAGGAACGCCATGCTCTACAGGAGTTCAACCTATGAAGACAGCGCTCTCCAGGACCTCAACCTATCGAGACAGCTCGGGGCACACACAATCAACAAGTTGAGCTTAGGAACGAACATGTCAAATTAGCTCAAGATGAATCTCGTCAACAACTTGAGAAGTAGCAGACGGCAGTTTCGTACGATGCCTTTGAAACTAAAAGTGCCCTGCTTTGGTTTATTTATTTATAAAAAGAAATCTCAAGTGTTCGCTGCAGTGTCGGACACAATAAATCCACATATCCATAAGGGCGCCTATCCAATATGTCAAAGCTAATCGATGCCTCCGTCAGATATAAAAAAATCAAATCACGATCTTGTTTTTCAGATATTCCCAGGAGGTGAAAAAAATTCCAGCTGAGGACTTGACTAGTTGTCAATACGATGAAAAGCTACCAGAACAAAGGACCAAAGAATCAGATATTTCGACCTGGCTTTTTATATCGACCTTGATGATGTCCCCAAATGGATTCATTTTTTCTTTGCCTCATAAAAATCTTGTGACAACATTTTTGATTGTATGAGTGTGCCATGCTGAAGTCTCCAATAGCGTCACTTGTTTGAGCTAGCGGTTCTGAAGTCTGTAGTGACATGGCTTGTTGGGATATGCGATGCTGAAGTTTCCACTGGCGTGGTTTGTTTGACAGTGCGGTGCTCAAGTCTCCACTGACGTGGTTTGTTTGAGAGTGCGGTGCTCAAGTCTCCACTGACGTGGTTTGTTTGAGAGTGCGGTGCTCAAGTCTCCACGGACGTGGTTTGTTTGAGGGTGCGGTGCTCAAGTCTCCACTGACGTGGTTTGTTTGAGAGTGCGGTGCTCAAGTCTCCACTGACTTGGTTTGTTTGAGAGTGCGGTGCTCAAGTCTCCACTGACGTGGTTTGTTTGAGAGTACGGTGCTCAAGTCTCCACTGACGTGGTTTGTTTGAGAGTGCGGTGCTCAAGTCTCCACTGACGTGGTTTGTTTGAGAGTGCGGTGCTCAAGTTTCCACTGACGTGGTTTGTTTGACAGTGCGGTGCTCAATTCTCCACGGACGTGGTTTGTTTGAGAGTGCGGTGCTCAATTCTCCACGGACGTGGTTTGTTTGAGAGTGCGGTGCTCAAGTCTCCACTGACGTGGTTTGTTTGAGAGTGCGGTGCTCAAGTCTCCACTGACGTGGTTTGTTTGAGAGTGCGGTGCTCAAGTCTCCACTGACGTGGTTTGTTTGAGAGTGCGGTGCTCAAGTCTCCACTGACGTGGTTTGTTTGAGAGTGCGGTGCTCAAGTCTCCACTGACGTGGTTTGTTTGAGAGTGCGGTGCTCAAGTCTCCACTGACGTGGTTTGTTTGAGAGTGCGGTGCTCAAGTCTCCACTGACGTGGTTTGTTTGAGAGTGCGGTGCTCAAGTCTCCACTGACGTGGTTTGTTTGAGAGTGCGGTGCTCAAGTCTCCACTGACGTGGTTTGTTTGAGAGTGCGGTGCTCAATTCTCCACGGACGTGGTTTGTTTGAGAGTGCGGTGCTCAATTCTCCACGGACGTGGTTTGTTTGAGAGTGCGGTGCTCAATTCTCCACGGACGTGGTTTGTTTGAGAGTGCGGTGCTCAATTCTCCACGGACGTGGTTTGTTTGAGAGTGCGGTGCTCAATTCTCCACGGACGTGGCTCTTTTACTGCGAACCAAGAATAAGATAATATAATTGTAAAAAAATTATACGTACAGCAAATACTTTGTCAGACAAATGATTTTTAAGTTTTAATTAAAAAAACTGCGATTGGTTAAATTGTTGCTGAAAGATCGACTTTATATTCGGTGAACTCAGAAATCGATCAGAAAACACTAACACATGCGATACGAAATGTCACGATGGCATACGTGTTTGATTAGGTTATAGAATACAATTATCCGATGTGTACCTCTGATCAATACACCTTGCCGAGTCTTGTGTTTTATCAAGCCTCAAGGCAAATGAATTCAGCCCAAGCAAGATTATCTTTATAAAGGAGATAGCTGATACATAAAAGTGTAATTCAGAGACCACATCTTTTAATTGGAAACCTCTTGTAAACTCAAGTGAATTAGATATACTTATCATCGTAGCTGAAACAAGTCGTGAAGTACACAGAGAGAGAACGTTTTTTTGTTTACGCTGAAATGCCAAAGGGATAATCCACCGAAATGGTCGCCGTCTTACTGCTGGTACTACTGTTACTTAACCGTCATGACCCTGCATCGTCGGCTGGCGGTGGCTCCGTGCACAACGCTGCCCTGTACAAGCCGGCCTATCAGAGTTCCCTGCACGACAACCACTACGCTTACCTGGGCAACGACGGTAACAACACGGACATATTTGCCGCTGGTCACTGTCAGCATACGTTGTTTCAGGACACACCGTGGTGGATGGTGGACCTGATGGGGCAGTTCAAGATAGAGAAACTCGTGCTAACCAACAGGTGAGGTGCTTTTTTTTTTTTTTTTTTTTTTTGACCGATGTGGTTTACGTTCTCAGTGCTAGATGACGCAATGATCCGTCCAATGCATGTCGTATCGCGTTCTAGCTTACACTTGGTGTAAAGATATTTCCATTGCAGTTACATGTAGTTTTTTTTTGTTTTTTTTTGTAATAATTACATTTAAATTATAAACAAAAAAACATCTTACGATTTGTTACGTATTCTTCAATAACATAATTCCCATCCTATTCAAATGTGGGAGAGCACTTAGAATCAAAACTTTTGAAACAATATAAAATGTTCATTTTTTCTTTTCTTGTTTTTCCCCCCAAGTTCTTGGACGCTAATACTTAAAGGGAAATGAAAAGCAGAGCTGCACAACCAGAGCTGAGAGGTGTGCCTCTTAAAAAAAATGACCATAAGAAAAATAAAGTCAGTAGTTTAGGGTAGCGACGTAAATAAGATAAAATAAAGCTGATAGAAGTAAGTTGATAAAAGAAAGTTGATAGAAGTAAGTTGATAAAAGAGGACAGTGTTTTGTTTATTACCATGTTTACCTTAGGCCGAATGTCAGGTATGTGCACGTGTACATTGGGTGAGTCAAATGCTGGTTTAAAATCAAAAGGAATGCACCAAAGAGCTTTAATCAAAACATTAAGCCAAGGCAAAAAAAAAAAAAAAAAAGTTGACAGTAATAGTTTAGGCAGCTAAAATAAAAATTTGCTAAAAATCCTATAAAGTTACTAAAAATTCAAAAACAAATTTAAAAATTCTAAAAAATTGCTAAAAATCCTAAAAAATTGATTGCACAAAAGAAATCAAATATTAAACCAAACATTTAACCTAACATTTAACCAAACATTGATACAAACATTAAAATAAATATTAAACTAAATTTTACACTAAACATTAAAACTAAACATTGAAACAAACATTTAACTAAAATTTAAACAAAACATTAAAACCAACATTAAACTAAACATTAAAACCAACATTAAACTAAACATTGAAACCAACATTAAACTAAACATTGAAACCAACATTAAACTAAACATTAAAACCAACATTAAACTAAACATTAAAACCAACATTAAACTAAACATTAAAACCAACATTAAACTAAACATTAAAACCAACATTAAACTAAACATTGAAACCAAGATTAAACTAAACATTGAAACCAACATTAAACTAAACATTAAAACCAACATTAAACTAAACATTAAAACCAACATTAAACTAAACATTAAAACCAACATTAAAATAAACATTAAAACCAACATTAAACTAAACATTAAAACCAACATTAAACTAAACTTTGAAACAAACACAGAGGCAAAAAATCAAAGCTGGCATGAAATTAATTAGAAGAAAACTCAGACAAATCCGGCGACGCTCCTGGAGCCTAACTGCATCGGCTTGACGCTCCCGTCAGTTCACCGGCTGCGTGGAGATATGAGGTCTGCTGACTGGGAGGCAGGTTATTCTCCATAACAAAAAAATCTCAGGCCCTTTGACTTCGTCACGTTATGGCATCATTGAGACGGATGGATGCTGGGAATGTTCACTGTATTATTTAATGTAAATAGAATAATTCCTGACGTTTAGACGTAAGAGAGACCTCTCGAAGTCAGCCTCGCATTTTAAGCATGCACCATTACAGTTATTATTTTCAATTTATGTAAACTGGTGTCCTATTTTTATAGGTTGATAGCTAGAGATGCCTCTTGGATTCCTAGAAATTGTTTTTGAGCTTCGGAGAACTGATATTTAAATAGTTTTATCTATACGAACACATTAGTCATTTTTGGTGCGAATTATCAATTTAGTGGCTAACATTGACTGTACATGTGTATTCTGTCCTGCAATTCAAATATTTGTTGGTATTTCTTTTGTGTGTGTGTGTGTGTGCCTCGGTATTCTGGGAAGGGTGTAGACTCTAGATGTAATGTAGGTCATAAAAAAAGATGAAGTAGTGGGGCACTGATTAAAAGAGACAATCTTTGGAACATACTCATTGTATTTTTAGAATATGGAGTTGTGAGACTTAAAAAAACTAGATGGGTGGGAATTTATTATATTTTTTGTTTAGTTGAAAAATAGGGCTTCAATTTATGGTTGGGGGGGGGGGAGGCAGGCGGGTCATTTTAGGCGGTTATTAATAGCACTTGTTTCTGTAAAAACACTGGTAATAATATTTAAAACGATTTCTTTCCAGAGCCGAAGGATCAGATAGATTAAAAAACTTTGCAATCGACATTTTCAAAACAGACCCCAGGCAGCTGCCCAGCTTTCCCTCGGCCACTGGTCAGATATGTTACAGCCAGATAGCGCCACTGACCAACGGGACATTCACGTGGCAATGCCCCGCTCCTATTGTCGGGAGGTTTGTAAGGCTTGTCATGTGAGTTCATAGTGTGTTATTTTTTAATATATACTCTTTCTTCTGATCTTTGCTTTTGTTAAGGGCTTGTGCCCATTCTTACTCCTTTTCTTTTCTTTCATTTTTAGGTGTAGGTAGCGTGAAAGATATATTCTGTACATTTAATTTATAATTACTATTCTTTAGTGTTGTTATGATAACGAAGGTGGTTTTCCGAAACGCTTGAATTGGTATTTTATCTCATCATGGTCATTTCTTACTTACCACAGTGTTTTATTTACACAAGTTGTCTCTGTCTCATTATTTTATTTTTATATTAAGTTATAGAACATTTTACTTCTCAAAGATGTTGACTTCATCAGCGTTTTCATCAAAAACGATGTCAGTCACACATCTCTTGAAAAGTTCGACATTTTAGCTATGTTAGTCCCGTCAGTTGACCCTTTATTGGAACTTTTAAAAAAAAATGCGTGTTATATTCTTAGCAATTTGTTTTCAATTAAATTCACCGACTCACAGATTAGCCAACATTAGCCAAATATCCCATGGAAGTAAAAAGAACTGTCATGTGGATGGGTCCTCGTGACCTACATTAAACTGTGATGTTTTTTAAAAGTCTAAGTGAATCAGGTGCACTGGTTAGTGGAATGCAAGCCGAGCAAGAACGTCTGGTGTTATTTATTCCATGAGATTGATTGTAGATTAATTCAATACAGCCTTATGACATTATTTCCACGTCAAATGCCTACTGAAAGCGGACGCAGCTGTATTTGATGAGAACATTCCGGCGCATTTGTGGCGCATTGCTGAGCTCACACCGAGATTTGCTTTTAATATTGATTTCGCCTTTCAGTGGAGATTCCGTTAATCTAACGGTTCTTAGCCTGATGTCCATGGGATCTGGGATACCGTGAATAGGTGTTAGATTAGCAACCGCTCTGTAAAAATAATTTAATTCTAAGAAAAGGTATATGCTTCATCTAAATATAAAAAAATAACGGCACTTAAATAAAGGGGTTAAGAACCCCTGCGTAAATGGAATTTAAAAAATTGTAAACAATGTTTGGATGAAAATCTCTTAAGGAATATGTTAAACGTATTTCACTCGGAATGATATTCTTAGTATAATGCAGTGGTTCCGACAGTTTTTCGATTGTCGGCGCCCTTAGTGAATGCACGTTTTCCTATGTCCAATTCTAACAAGTACATTATGAAGTAGAGAGTACTTCTTTTTTTTTTTTAAATCAAAGTCTTGACTAAGTCTTGCCGCTGGAACAATAGGCAAGGACGAGGCAGTGAGGCTGACGAATTGAGCAATTCTCCCTCCCTTTCAACAAAATATAGCTAAGTCAAGGCTACTTACTACTCAAGTTCAAGCCTAAGTCATCATCTCACACGAAGGACGAACTTATGATGTGCTATAATGTCTTGCTTCCTACGTAACAAATATATTTTTAACTTTGAGACAAATATAGAAATTTTAAAAAAAATTAAACTATGATAATATTTTTATCCATGATTGGAATGAGGTGTCTCGATCTATTTGTGCATTGCCTGACAGACTGATAGCATATTGGCAGACATGACGCCCCCTTCCGATTGCTGGCAAGCCGTCCGTCACGATGTGATGATGGTGAAGACTTTGCAGGACGAAATCTATAAGGCCTGGGATGATTCTTTACAAGGTCTGGGATTATTCTTCTAGTATTATAGGCTGGTCCCCAACAGCAAATCGCCTCTCTCCACGTCGCTGGATAACCCAAGGGAACATCATGTGGATGATACAGCTTGGCACCAGTGGCGTCGCCTGAGTTGTCTGAATTTTTCATTGTGCTAATGTTATCCACATAAGGGACTCAAATTCCGGGTTAGATTCAGAGTTCCCTTCTCTTAGATGAGTAGCCAAGAGTCATCCAATGAGGATGATACCAATGTTATCCGCCTACGGGACTCCATCATCAGGTTTGAATTCAGAGTTTCCTTCTCTTAGATGAGCTGCCATCCAGGCTTAACCACCCGGTCCCATCCATCCGGGGTGCTAATGATGTTTTTGCTTGACTGGGCATTGGCTGGCATTGAGCTCCAGACCACCAATTTGAGATTTGCTCAGTTTAGAGCACCCTATATATATATATATATATATACATATAACGAAGTAACAAAGTAACGAACACTTTAAATCACTAGTTGGTGGTCAAACGTGCTTCATTGACCAACATTTTTGGAATTTCCTTTGACCCAGATGGTGGATAATTCAAAGTTACCGTTGGAACATTACAAATTAAATCACGCTAAATAATAATTCAAATCAGGAAGTACGATTGAAAGCGGACAATGTCAAGAGTTCATTGTCGTGTTTCGAAACTATTTTAGTAGCTCACATATTTTTTTTTGGTCTATTTCCCCACATTCAAATCCTCTTCCAAAATATTTTCAAACTTAATCTCCTGATTTGATACAAGCACAGAAGAGGACATGAAAAGACAAAGCTCATTGAGACGTGAATATTTCACAAGAATTCCAAGGTGTCAGCACAGTCACGCACAATTTCAAAATAATGGCCAAATGCAGTGTTAGATGAAGAACAAGAGGATTTTGAAATTGAAACAGTTTCACCGCATGAGCGACGTGGACGAGGAAAAGTGCTTGATCAACTAATCGCAGAGGATGAGCCGTTTTTTGAATAAAAATGCGTGCTTGTGTTAAAGATAAAATTTAAATGATTGTCTTGAATGGTTTTTGAAAACGATTTACAGGGAATGGCAAAATAGCTGCAAACTATAGCATGCTTCGAAACCTAGGAGTTTCAGTGAACATGATGGGCTCTGGGATGACATTTTCGAATTCTTTGGTAAACATAATGTTGAGATTCAACGGTAGAGCAATGGCAACTAGAATTCGTGAAGAACTTCTATATCCCAGGTTTCATGCGAACAATAGCAACTAGAACTGCTAGATCTTGCTCTTAAATTTGAGGATTTGAAGAACGGTCTTAAAGAAGACACTGTAATGTGTTCAGAAGTACTGTAATAAATAACAAAGACAACGTTTATGAAAATAAAGGGGATATACATTCAGAATATAGCCGACCAATCGTGACTACAGTACATATAGTAATTCTAAGATCTGTGCCTTATGCCGCTACAGCATAATGAACGAGTATAATTTATATTCAGAAACATATTCAGTTTTATTTAATTGTTATAAATATCTACTGACTTTTCCAATATCTCAAGTTTCATGCGAACAAATTGGAAACAGGTTTTAAGCAACTTTGCTGATGACTTGTTGTGATACAGACATTGCACCAAACTTAGCAGAGGGACATAGAAAAAAAAATATTGAACGTTGTTCCCACATCGATTGGTATCATGATGCATTATTAGACATTTAGGCTGTTATGGGTTTTTTTATGACGTAATCTGTATAGCTGTTGCTATTTGCGTTGTTATCAACATATTTTTAAAAAAAAATACTGATAAAAAAAAAAAGTAGCGTTCATTAATCTGAAAGAATTCTCTTTATTTTCAGGTTCGCGCAGGACTACCTTCATATTTGTGAACTGGAAGTGTACGTCAGCGACGTCTTCTACAAGGAATCATCATTTCGCATGAAGCTGAACCGGATGTTGAAAATGACGCCATTCATGACGGTAAATGTTGATGGCGTCATGGCCTGTTCACAACAGTGCTCCTCACACAGGGAGAACGACGTCAAATGCACCGCCTTCAACTGGTTCGCTGTGACGGGGGAGTGCCAGTTGTTTCAGGTGGACCCCAACAATATCCCGGTTCCTCTTGTAGTCCAAGCCGGCTGTAATTTTGTTTCGGAACGAACTTAAAACGTTCCTTCTTGTTCTACATCGAAACTAACTTTTAAAACAAACAAAAACAAACAAACTCATCGTCTTTCCGTTTGAGCAGACAAATTTCTTGTTTGGAATTTGAATCATTTCCAACATCTACATAACGTTTCCTAAACTAAGACTCTTTCTCCCAAGTCCAGACCCCCCCCCCCCCCAAAAAAAAAAAAAAAAGTAATATTTTATGGTTATTTTTATTTGGTCATGTTATCGTATTATGATACATGTATTATTTTAAAGTATTATTTAATGACATTTAACATATATCCATACACGAATAACAAACACGTGACGTGATCATTGTTTACTTTCCCTTTCATTTCTCATCTGCCATTGTCTCAAGACAACTTGATATTCACTATGGAGTAGTCAGCTTTCCACTGTTTTTAGCAGATTATGTTACCAATAGAATTCTTAAGACTGATTTTCTTAAAACCTAAAGAAAGATGAATGCAAAACGAGATTCTCAAGTGTTCTGTGAAAATACATAACATTTGTGAATATTTTTTAATGTTTTTTTTTTTTTTTTTTCTATTTTTAAAATTATGTTTATTGAGCTGACAGCAAAGAAATGCAGGCATTTTTCCCTTCGAGAAAAGTCACAACTCTGAAATGTCTCTAGGCGGATGTGGCTGTCCTTTGCTCAACTACTGTTGTGCTCTGATGCCGACATAGGTGGATGTGGCCATCTTCTGCTACACTACTGTTGTGCTCTGATGCCGACATAGGTGGATGTGGCCATCTTCTGCTACACTACTGTTGTGCTCTGATGCTGACGTTGGTGGATGTGGCCATCCTCTGCTCCACTACTGTTGTACTCGGATGCTGACGTAGGTGGATGTGCCCATCCTTTGCTCCACTACTGTTGTGCTCTGATGCTGACGTAGGCGGATATGACCATCCTCTGCTCCACTACTGTTGTGATCTGATGCTGACGTAGGCGGATGTGGCCATCCTCTGCTCCATTACTGTTGTGCTCGGATGCTGACGTAGGTGGATGTGCCCATCCTTTGCTCCACTACTGTTGTGCTCTGATGCTGACGTAGGCGGATATGACCATCCTCTGCTCCACTACTGTTGTGATCTGATGCTGACGTTGGTGGATGTGGCCATCCTCTGCTCCATTACTGTTGTGCTCGGATGCTGACGTAGGTGGATGTGCCCATCCTTTGCTCCACTACTGTTGTGCTCTGATGCTGACGTAGGTGGATATGACCATCCTCTGCTCCACTACTGTTGTGCTCTGATGCTGACGTAGGTGGATGTGGCCATCCTCTGCTCCACTACTGTTGTGCTCTGATGCTGACGTAGGTGGATGTGGCCATCCTCTGCTCCACTACTGTTGTGCTCTAATGCTGATGTAGGTGGATGTGGCTGTCCTCCGCTGCACTACTGTTGTGCAGGAGGGAGGAGGGGGTAGGAGGGTGAAGCTACACTGAATTAAAAAATGCTGGGCATTGGAAAAAACATATGTGTGAAGTACTGGGCGAATTATTGCATTAAAATAATGTAAAAATACTAATTGACTTAAAAAATCTGTTGCAAATTTTGACCTCCAACAATAAAATATGCTCTCTATAATCACCAACAACTGCACACAAAACAAATCTTCTGGTCGTACCATCAACCGAAAAGCTCAAAGCTCGTGGCTTCGTGTAATGTTGTGTATTTTGATGTGTTAAGTAAAGTAATAAGGCGGAAGAAAACATGATTATATTGATGACCGATTCTAGCTTTAATTTCAGAGAAAAAATTTAAACAAGTCTGTAGGTTTAATGTCGGAGAAACAATTTAAACAAATCTTTAGGTTTAATGTCAGACATACATTATAAACAATTCTTTAGGTTTAATGTCAGAGAAACAATTTAAACAAGTCTTTAGGTTTATTTTTGAGGCTCATAAACATTCTCTCTATGAATAGCTCTCAAGAGCAAGCGATTATCCGATTGCCATCTTCATTGGTGAATGAAAATTACTTGCTTGGTCTGAAACAAAATAAAACAGATTAGTGGACATTTTATAAGTCTCAATTATAAGCTATTATCTAAATTTAAAAGCATTGTCAAATATTACATCATCTATAATTACCTCCTGATCGTACACAGAGATGCAATTACTAAATCATCGCCAATAATGTCAGGGTTTTTAAAAAAAATGATCACAAATATACAGAATACTAAATGACTTTTTTATAATTATAAAAGAAAACTTTCAAACCCATGCATATCACATTAATGAGTAAAATTCAGAAAAAACACAGCTTACCCATTAGAAAGATAGTAATCATTAGTGCACACATGATACACACATTACCCACTAGAAATACAGTACTCGTTTCAACATGCAAAATCCATAACTCATCCATTAGAAAGACAGTACTCATTGCCACACAATATAAAAACTTAGCTATTAGAAAGACAGTACTCATTGACGCACTCATTATACGCAACGTAGCGATTAGAAGGACAGTACTCATTGCTACTCACAATATACACAACCTACCCCTTAGAAGGACATTACTCATTACTACTCACAATATACACAACCTACCCCTAAGAAGGACAGTACTCATTGCTACTCACAATATACACAAATTACCCTTAAGAAGGAAAGTACTCATTGCTACTCACAATATACACAACCTGCCCCTAAGAAGGACAGTACTCATTGCTACTCACAATATACACAACCTACCCCTAAGAAGGACAGTACTCATTGGCGCACACAATATACATAACCAACCAAATAACAGGACAGTTCTCATTACTACACACAATATACGCAATCTACCCATAAGAAGTACAGTATTCGTTGCTACACACAATATTTACAACCTACCAATTAGAAGGACAGTTCTCGTTGCTACACGCAATATACGCAACCTACCCATAAGACGGACAGTACTCGTTGCTACACACAATATACGCAACCTACCCATAAGACGGACAGTACTCGTTGCTACACACAATATACGCAACCTACCCATAAGACGGACAGTACTCGTTGCTACACACAATATACACAACCTACCCATAAGACGGACAGTACTCGTTGCTACACACAATATACACAACCTACCCATAAGACGGACAGTACTCGTTGCTACACACAATATACACAACCTACCCATAAGACGGACAGTACTCGTTGCTACACACAATATACACAACCTACCCATAAGACGGACAGTACTCGTTGCTACACACAATATACACAACCTACCCATAAGACGGACAGTACTCGTTGCTACACACAATATACACAACCTACCCATAAGACGGACAGTACTCGTTGCTACACACAATATACACAACCTACCCATAAGACGGACAGTACTCGTTGCTACACACAATATACACAACCTACCCATAAGACGGACAGTACTCGTTGCTACACACAATATACACAACCTACCCATAAGACGGACAGTACTCGTTGCTACACACAATATACACAACCTACCCATAAGACGGACAGTACTCGTTGCTACACACAATATACACAACCTACCCATAAGACGGACAGTACTCGTTGCTACACACAATATACACAACCTACCCATAAGACGGACAGTACTCGTTGCTACACACAATATACACAACCTACCCATAAGACGGACAGTACTCGTTGCTACACACAATATACACAACCTACCCATAAGACGGACAGTACTCGTTGCTACACACAATATACACAACCTACCCATAAGACGGACAGTACTCGTTGCTACACACAATATACACAACCTACCCATAAGACGGACAGTACTCGTTGCTACACACAATATACACAACCTACCCATAAGACGGACAGTACTCGTTGCTACACACAATATACACAACCTACCCATAAGACGGACAGTACTCGTTGCTACACACAATATACACAACCTACCCATAAGAAGGACAGTACTCGTTGCTACACACAATATACACAACATACCCATAAGACGGACAGTACTCGTTGCTACACACAATATACACAACCTACCCATAAGAAGGACAGTACTCGTTGCTACACACAATATACACAACCTACCCATAAGAAGGACAGTACTCGTTGCTACACACAATATACACAACCTACCCATAAGACGGACAGTACTCGTTGCTACACACAATATATACAACCTACCCATAAGACGGACAGTACTCGTTGCTACACACAATATACACAACCTACCCATAAGACGGACAGTACTCGTTGCTACACACAATATACACAACCTACCCATAAGACGGACAGTACTCGTTGCTACACACAATATACACAACCTACCCATAAGACGGACAGTACTCGTTGCTACACACAATATACACAACCTACCCATAAGACGGACAGTACTCGATGCTACACACAATATACACAACCTACCCATAAGAAGGACAGTTCTCGTTTGCGCAGCCTACGGTGGATCTGTCTTCGTGTCGGTGACAACGACACACCGTACAATTGGGATCACGTGACACTGGGACTATATCGCCATTATTGTACGTGATGCCATGGACTGTGCAGGACCAGGAATCTACGTTTGGGTGGCGACAAGACATGGTCAGAATAAATCAATCAATGGATATTTTGAAACTTTGTTTTGTAAGCACGCAAGGCTTTTCTTTTACCCGAAAAAAATATTTACGATGTGCATAAAAACACGAGAGCTATAGGATGATACAAGGATGGTTGCTAGGATGACAGTTAGGGTGATAACAAGGATGGGGGCTTGGATGACAGTTAGGATGATAACAAGGATGGGGGTAGGATGACAGCTAGGATGACAGGGACATAACAAGGATGGGGGCTAGGATGGCAACTATGATGATAACAAGGATGGAGGCTAGGATGACAGCTAGCATGATAACAAGGATGGGGGCTAGGATGACAGCTAGGATGATAACAAGGAAGGTTGCTAGGATGACAGCTAGGGGGATAACAAGGATGGGGGCTAGGATGACAGCTAGCATGATAACAAGGATGGGGGCTAGGATGTCAGCTAGGTTGATATCAAGGAAGGGGGCTAGGATGAAAGCTAGGATGATAACTGGGATGATAGCAAGGAGGATAGCAAGGATTTTAGCTAGGATGATTGCTAAGATGTTAGCTTGAGAATGTCAACATTATAGACACAGGTGCCATCCCTGGTGACCTTTTGTACTTGGAGATAGCAGAGAGGTACAAACAAATTATTGGATGGCAGTGACTGAACCTCAAAGACATAAGAGAGAATAGACGTAGAAAGCATAAGCCACACTAGAAGGCATGAGTCAGACTAGATGGCTTGAGTCAGTCTAAAAGGCATGAGTCAGACTAGAAGGCACGAGTTAGACTAGAAGGAATGAGCCAGACTAGATGGCTTGAGTCAGACTAGAAGGCATAAGTCAGAATAGAAGGCCTTAGTCAAACAAGAAGGCATGAGTCAAACTAGAAGGCATGATTCAGACTAGAAGGCATAAGTCAGACTAG